CTAGACTGAAGAACAAAACGACAGCAACTTGTCTGTTCCCCTTTCCCCAATTCCCCAGCACTGTTCCCATCCCCCTAACTCCCCAATAAAAAAAAAATAATAATAATAATTTCAGTAATCCTCCCTTATTTGTGGTTTCGCTTTTGGAGTTTTCAGTTACCCGTGGTCAATCATGGTCAGAAATATTAATTGAAAAATTCCAGAAATAAACAATTTACAAGTTTTAAATTCTACTCTGTCCTGCCCGGGATGTCAGTCATCCCCTTGTCCAGCATCTCCATGCTGTGTACGCTCTCCACCCTTTAGTCACTCAGTAGCCGTCTTGGTTATCAGGCTGACTGTCACAGTATTGCGGTGCTTGTGTTCAAGTAACCCTTATTATACTTAACAATGGTCCCGAAGTGCAAGAGTAGTGATGCTGACAATGTGGACATGCCAAAGGGAAGCTAGAAAGTGCTTCCTTTAAGTGAAAAGGTGAGTACAGTACAATAAGACATGTTGAGAGAGAGATACCACAGTCACATAACTTCTGTTATTGTATATTGTTATAATTGTTCTATTTTATTATTAGTTATTGTCACTTTCTTACATGTCTAATTTATAAATGAAACTTTATCATTGGTATGTTTGTATAGGAAAAAACTTAGTATATATGGGATTTGATATTATCTGAGATTTCAGGCATCCACTGGGGGTCTTGGAACGTATCCCCCACAGATAAGGAGGGCAACTATATAAGAAAATGATAATTACTATTACCATTTATTGAGTGCTGACTTTGTTTCTGGTACTTTATATGTAATCATTGTCTTTAATCTTCACAATAAGCCTAGGAGGTAGTCCTTTCTATGCGTATTATATTAGTGAAGAAATGAATTCACAGGTTGGGTTTTTGTCCCTAGTAAATGACAGAGGCAGAGTTTAACCCAAATATGTCCTGTTTTACAGTGCTTGACCTTGGTTCTATAATTCTAAGATATCCTTTTACTGAAGAACAAGGGCTTACTAATACACAAAATAATTTCTTATGTTGAATTTTTCAACTACCATATAAAACCATTTATTGATTATTTTGGTTATCTGTTGCATAAAATAACACCCCAAACCCTTAGTATCTTAAAACAATCACAGCTATTTGTTAGTATTAAAGAACTACTTATTTTTTCAATTCATGACTTTGAAGTTGTTTGCAACTCCTTTTCCTTTTTTGCTTCTAAATTAGAGCCGATTTCTGAAAATATTCCCCTACAATGTTTTTTGCATATTCTTATTTTTCTCTTTTCTAGTCTAACGTTTGTTGCCTCTTGCATAACAAAGTGATAGGTTTCTACTTCATTTCTCGTCTACTTCATTTCTTTGTCTCAAGTCACGCCCTGCTTCTATTCACTTTACATATAGTTTTCAGGATAGCCTACTTTGATCACCAATCTCTGTGTATTATTTCTCTACTTGGTCTAACATGTCCTATCATTTCCTAGGCTAGCTTTTACATCTCCGGACTTGTTACTTCCCACCCTCTCTTCCTCCACAACCTCTTTCTCAATTTTCATTATGATTAAGTGTTGCTTGTCTAATCCAGCAGCATATACCTGATGGTTACCCATTACTGTACTCCTCTTGTTAATTTTACCTCAGTGCTTTTGTCTGACATTTCGACATGGAATGTTCTCCCCAGTAATTCATGTCTTTCTTTAATGATTATCTTAGAAATCACCTGTCCAGTGAAACTTAATGTATAACACTATCCATACTACACTTAACCTTCTCAACAGTTATTTAGTTTACATTATTATTCCAGGCATTGTGCTAAATGGTCTATATGAATTATTTAATATAATTCTCTTGCCAGTGCAGTAGGTAGTATTATTCATATTTTTTAAGATAAAATTTCAGTAAGGTTAAAACCTATTGAATCTTTTATAGCTAGTGAGAGTGATCATGATTTAAAAAAAAATCACTTTAGGTATAATTTATGTAAAATAAAATGCACCAATTTTAACAATACAGTTTGATAATCTTCGGGGTGTGCGTGTGTGTGTGTGTGTGTGTGTGTGTGTGTGTGTGTGTGTATTCCCTATAGTCATCACCCCAAACAAGATATGGAATATTTTCACAATCCCCAAAGTTTTCATCATACCACTTTCAAATCATCTCTCCATCCCCAGGCTCGATGATCTGATTTCCGTCACTATAGATTAGTTTTGCTTATTCTAGACCTTCATATAAATGGAACCATACAGTACATATACTTTAACTTTTGGCTTCTTTTGCCTAGTGTTATGGTTTTCAGATTCATTCATGTTTTATATGAATTAGTGGTTCTTTCCTTTTAATACTGAGTAATATTCCGTTATATGGACATATCATTATGTATTTATCCATTTACTGGTTGATATTCTTTAGTTTTCATTTTTTGGCTATTTTGAATAAAGCTGCCATAAAAAAATTGTAGAGTTCTTATGTTTGCATACATTTTTCTTTTGGGAAAATACCTAGGAGTAGAAATGGTGGGTCATGTGGTAAGTATTCATTTAACTTGATTGGAAACTACCAAATTACTTTCCAAAGTGCTTATATCATTTCACATTCCCACCAATATATCAAAATTCCAGTTTCATATCCTTTTCAACACTTGCTATTATCAGTCTTTTTAATTTTAGCCATTATAGCGGGTATGTAGTGTTATGTCATTATAGTTTTATTCTTCATTTCCCTGATGGCTAATGGTGTAGGAAATCTTTTCATTTGCTTCTTGGCCATTTTTATATCTTTTTTTGAGAAGTTTCTGTTTAAATATATGGCTCTTAAAAAACTTTAAGTTGTTTTACCTTATACTGAGCTGGAAGAGTTCTTTATATATTCTGGGTATAAGTGCTTTTTGAATTCTGTCAATTATGAATGTTTCTTCTTAGTCTGAGGCTTGCCTTTTCATTTTCTTTATGATATTTTTCAAACAGCAAAAAAATAAACTTTTGTGGAAGTCTAATTTATTTACTTATTTTCCTTTTATAGGTGGTGCTTTTGTGTCTTGTTTTTCCCAATGTCTTGAAGAAATCAGGTAGGCTGTGTGTTTCAAGAAATTTGTTGATTTTATCTCTTTTCTAATTTACTGGCATAAGTTTTCTTAAATACATCCTTCATATTGTCAAAAACTGTGAAGGGCTGAGGTTTTACTCTTCTTGAAATTTAATAATTTTACCTGCTACAGTTTCATGGATACCCGCAGAAGAAACAAGACTCTTGGGTTAGAGATGATGGATAGTTTATTATTCATAGCAATAGCAGTAATCAGAGTATTAGCATTTGTTCACTAGTTCTCTCAAACTCTAGTTATAGGGTGACATGAAGATGGCCAGGTGACACCTGAACATGCAGTGGATTCTATTAGAGAAAAGGAATACTAAGTTTAGGAAACCCCCAAATTTTTTAATGAGCAGTAATCATACCAGCCCTTTGTTCCAAAGTGTCACTGACTATCTTCTGAGGCCGTAAGCAAGCCTGATGTCACTATCACAATCTTAGAGAGTTTGTTAATAAGTATAAATTAGTAAAAATTTAATATGTTTAATAAGTACTCATATGTTACTTATTATTTATGAGAAACTGATCTTAGTACTTTGTAAATATCAACTCGTTAAATTTTTGTGATAACCCTACAGGTAAGCTTAATTAGTACCACTATTTTATTGATGAGACAAAAGAGGAACAGAGAGTTTAAATAACTTGCTCATGGATATGTGGCTAGTAAGTGGCACAGCCAGATTTGAACCAAGTAGTCAAACTCCAGAGCCTGTGTTCTTTATCATTATATTGCATTACCTCTGTTAGACATATTTTTTTGTTGGTGAAATATGTGGTATTTAAGATGTGTTTATTAAATAGAAATAATATGTAGATATCTATAAATGTTACATAACAATATTACATCATCATCATATTATATGTTACACTAGTCCCCCCTTTATCTGTGACCTGCGTCAACCAAAATCCAAAAATATTAAATGGAAAATTCCAGAAATAAACAATTCATAAGTTTTAAATTGCACACCATTCTGAGTAGCGTGATGGAAACTAGCTCTGTGCTGCTCCACCCCATTGGGGACATGAGTCATCCTTTTGTCCAGCGTATCCACCATGTATATTCTACCAGCCAGCTGTCGTGGTATCTCAGTGCTTGTGTGCAAGTAACTTACTTTACTTAATAATGACCCCAAAACACAAGAGTAGTGATGCTGGCAATTTGGATATGCCAAAGAGAAGCTGAAAAGTGATTCAAGGGAAAAGGTGAGTAGTACAATAAAATATTTTGTGAGAGACCATATTCACATACTGTATTGCCCCATGTATAAGACGCACCTTAAGTTTGGGGCCCGAAATTTGAAAAAAATGTATTACATAAATTTATTGAAGTCAAGTTTTATTCATCATAAAATTCATACAACTCTTCATCACTGTCAAAACTCCCAACCATTAGCTTGTCCTCATCTGTGTGTGTCTGATGACGAATCACTGTCTTCATATATTGCCTTGTCCTCAACGGGAAATGCAAGTAAAAAAATTTACAACCACTGTATAAGACGCACCCAGTTTTTAGACCCCAAATTTTTCGAAAAAGGGTGCGTCTTATACATGAGGAAACACGGTAACTTTCATTACAGTATATTGTTATAATTGTTCTATTATTGTTGTTAAGCTCTTACTGTGCCTAGTGTATAAGTGAAACTTTATCGTAAGTATATATGTATAAGACATAGTATATAAAAGGTTTGGTAATATCTGTAGTTTCAGGCATCCTCTGGGTAAAGGGGGACTACTGTAAAAGAATTAGGGAGCCCATTAGCTTGAAATTGAGGAAACACTCAGGCCAAGGATTCCATCTGGTCCAGCCTTCTATCAGCTAATGGAAGATTCTGTTGTCTGATCCAAGCAGATTAGCTGATTCTGCTGCTGAAATGTTTTCACATCTGACATTCTTTTAAGATACTTGTTCGAGTGCTAAAGGACTTCGCCAAGCTCAATGGTTGTATGGCATTTTTAGTGCCGGATTACTACTAAAATTTGTATGTGTCACAGTATTTGGTTTGAGATTTGCTTTTATTTTAACATTCTACCTGTTAGTAGGGCTGTGGGTAGAGTTCTTATCTACTGTTAATTGTCAGAGATTACAGACACCCGTCAAAAAGAACCAGGTAATTCCCAAAGACTTAATTGGCTAAATCAGTTAACAGTGTCAGATTTGTCTGACTCAAAACACCAATACTTTTGTTCAGATTATAACTAGCTTATAAGTCTTCATTCTGTACTTCTTTTAGAAAAAGACAACACAATTATTTTGTTTTTGAAAGGGTAATACATAACCTGGCAAAAACATTTGCATTGTACAAATGGCTAACATGAAGAGAAGGTATTCCACCTACCCCTGTCTTTCATTCCTCCTCTGCAGAGTAGACCAGTGTCATTATATATTCTTCCAGAAGTATTCCATGTGCATATTAGCATATATTCTTGATCTATTTATTATTATAATTGTCCTTTATGTGTCATTTAATGTCCCTAAATACATTTTGTGGTTTTAAGGGAAGACTATTTATTTTTAAAATTTTCTTCCACACTGCTTAATGTAGTTTCTCAAAAAGAAAACTCAATGAATACATAGTGCTATTTTCTATTTGGATAGGATTAATAACCAAGAGAAGAGAGAGTTGGATCAAGTTAAGGATAATGATATTGTGGTATCCAAATATCTGAAAACTATAAACTCTTAAGTGAAGTCACACACACACACACACACACACACACACACACACACACACACACACTGGAATGATTAACTTTGAATAAGAAAGACATGGAAATACACATTTATGACTGCATACCAAATATCAGATTTCCAGATTTTCGGATTTCCACTGTGTACCAGATTTCAGTAGCTTTAGTTCCAAATGAGGCATGTGAGCTAGTTAATTCCCAACCTCTAAATCTCCCCAGTTATTCCTGGGATTCACCTGTGTTCATATCGCCTCTCTTATGCCATTCCATTTATGTCTACTTGTTGAGAGCTGTTGGCTACAAGGTGCTTTGAGTGGCCACTGTGGGAACACTGCTTCTCTACCCAGCATACTTGGTTACAATGCTCCCAAAGCTGCAAAGTCTCCAATATGCCAAAAACTGCTGGATTCCTCTCCATTTTTACGGTCACACTGGAGCCATGCTGTGTTATTTGCAGAAATGATAAAATGCCCTTTCCCCAGTTCTGCCTTGGACCGTTAACCTGAGCAACAATCTCATAAAGTTCCTTGTGCAAACAGCCTCTTCGACCTTTCTGTACAGCGCTTTTCTCTGTGATAGTTCAGACTGAGTCCCTGGGGGCAGGCTGTAAAAATGGACTAGATATGATCTTTTGCATTTGTTCCTCTCTGGTCCCAGAAATCCACATATTAAAAACTATTCTTTTCTGTCCCCATTTTCCATCGGTTCCTACAAATGGATGCTGACCTGGGTGATGCAGGGATGGCTGTTGCCAACCAAACACATCCTTCTGATCTATGTGACGTTATAGTTGGCTTATTTGTTGGAAATACAGAACATAGCTTACCAAAATAGCTGGTATAATAGAAAGATTTACATTTCATTTGATGATATTTAGAACTCTATATTTCGGAGGAGCTTTAAAACATCACCATTTTTCTTATTCTTTATAAAATGAAGGATATTTGAGCACTGGATTGTAAATAACTGTGTGTTTGTAGTTCACATGTTAAGTACTTTTCTGAAATTGATGGAGACATAGTCTGGAATACTGATTTGATAGAAATGCTTCATTGATTTTACTAGAGCTGAGCCAAATTCATTAATAGCCTCGATTCATTAGGAAGACACCATTAATTAAAGGAAAATAAAATAAAGATTAAATTATTTTATTGTATCTTAAAAAGCAGTACACATTATTCAGAATTTAGTATATTTAGTTTTAAGATTACTTCTATTTCATCTATGATTTTTTTCAGAGAACACATTTGTTAGTTTACTTACGAGATATATATTTGTGTTAGTGATTGTATTGAGTTTTTTGGGACTATGTGAATTGCAGGGTTTTTAAAATCTTTACCCTTTCATAGATGAAGTGCTTACTCCTCCTGGGGTTCTGGCTTATTCCAAACTAAGATGATAGAAAGTGATATAATACAATGGGAAGAGAGAGAGAGAAATGCTTTAGAACAATGCATCATAGCTATGCAATAAGTTGAAGATGCTTCATCTGGTTCTGGGTAGACAGAGGCATTCCTTTTGTTTCTTCTTTCTGTACACAAGACACAGCCTAGAGGGAATAGAGAAGTGGAGTTATAAAGGAGGGGCAATTGAGTAAGAAAAATGGGAGAAAGAGAGAAAGGCAGAAGAAGAAAAGAAAGAGACTTCCTGACATTCCTCTGAACTGGACTCTAGGGACTGGTTATGACTCCAGGGAAAAGTAAAGGGCTGTTTCACTATCTTTAGAAGCTGCATTTATCCTTGTTGTTCCCTTAATAAATTTATTTTTGTGAACTGTACCTATCAGCCAAAGCAGTGTTAAATAATCTTTGGGTCTTTATAGCTCTCAAAATTTCCACCAGAATCTCTTAAGCAGCCTAAGTGAAAACAGTGTGCTAATCATGCAAATACTGCTTCAGAGTCACCCATGTTCTCCCTGCCCCCACAGCCAGATTTCTAAATCCCTTTGTAGATATTCTGGAGCCTACTTCTTCCTGCCCTTCTAGCATTTAATTACACAGCTAAAGGGTTATCCTATATAAATAAAACACAAGCTCTGCCATTTGGAACATACAATTTAGAAAAAGGAAATGACATTACACAAATAACTAAAATAAAATCAGAAAATAATCTGTGTTAACTGCTGATGTATGCTAGGAACAGTGTTGAAAGAGAAGGTAGAGCTTTGAAAGATATTGTGAACTTGACTGATTTGAAGTATGGGACAAGGGGAAGGAAGAATTAAAAATACTATGGATTAGTTTTCAGGGGGTGCGTTCAAGATAGCAGTGTAGGTAGATCCTTAACTCATTGT